CCGCGCCCGCCACGTGAGCGCCCGCACGCACCGCCAGCCGCAGCCGGCAGCTGCCATCTTCACCTGCAAAAAGCGGCGCGGGCGGGCCCCGAAACCCAAGAGGCTTTAAAGATACAGCGCCATCTGCCGGCCGCTGCTGAAATAGCCCCGCCAGGCCCGGGCCTCCGGTGCGTCCGCCCGTCTTCGACCCGCGAAAGGGTTGGGGGAGAAACTGCTCTTTGCAAGCTTTCGGGCACCGACGCCCTTCGTCAGGCATAGGGAGAGGCACCTGCAATGCCTGATGAAGGGTGTGTGTGCCCGAAAGCTTACAACGAAAGGATTTTTTTGTTTTTTTGCAAAAATCTTGTTGGCCTAATAAAAGAGATCGTCTAGACTAGTACGCGTCCGGATCGCCTTTGCCTCTAGACCAACACGGCTACACCCTGGATGCCTGACACCTGGAAGAGATCGAATTTTCGCTGGTTTTGAAAAATGAAATCTTCATATTTTCCAAAAGCGGGAAGCAACTGTGACCACCTGAAACCTGAGATCCTGCCTTTGTTTCAAGGTAATCTGCATCATCACAGATCCTCGCGGGAGGTGCGAGGCTCCACACCAGGTAAGCTGGTCTAATAAAAGATCAGATTCACCCAAAAAGCGTCTGTCCAGACCACCGATGAATTGCCTGCCCAAAGGAGTTGTCCATCTGTTGACTCCTCCGTGAACGCCTATGAAATACGAACTTTTATTTCTACTTAGGAGGATGTTTACAATCTTTTCTCCTGTGCCCGGTGAAGGGTGCTTGTGCCCGAAAGCTTGCAATTAAACAAACTTTTTTGCAAAAATCTTGTTGGTCTAATAAAACATATCACCTCTCCTATGAGTCCCAATTGCCCGAAGAAGGGCGTTTGTGCCCAAAAGCTTGCAAAGAACAACTGGTTGAATACAAGATGACACATTTACCCAAAGAACCTGGCCTGCCTCTGATGGAAAGGAGAAGGCTGCACTTCTGGAAAGGAGGGCAGCCCCCTCCTTTCCATCTCCATGTGGTTTCATGCCCCTCCGTTCCCCACCTCGAGTGCTAGGCTGGTGCAGAGTACTGGCCCAGATTTCTTGGCTTTTGCTGTGATAGCATCTTGATGAAGTACGGAAGTCCTACAGTCTACTGCTTATAAACGAGGAGTGGATAATAGCCGTTTGCACTTCTACAGCAGCCCTTGTCCAAGGCTCTCAGAGATTAACCCAGATATTCCAGTCCTCTGTGAGGCCGCAGGTGCTGCAGGAGGGCTGCCCAGGGAGGCTGTGGGGGCTGCCCAGGGAGGCTGGGCTGGTCCAAGGACGTGGGCAGAAGAGGGTCTTTGGGTGAATCCGATCTCTTCGATTAGAGCCATGCGAATCATTGGGAAAATTCTCGGTAGTGAGCTGTCAGGTTGAAACCCGACAGCTTGCTAAGAAGCATTTTTCCAAGGATTGGAGCGAGTCTTACCCAAAGACCCTGTCTGCCAGGGAAGCAAGGGACTCCCCAGAGCTGGAGGTGTTCAAGAAGAGGGGGGCAGCCACTAGCCAGGGGTGATGGGCTCTTTCCTGCCTGGTGCAGGCGGCTAGGCCCGCCGATCTTCCCACACCCCTTCCGGCCCCGCAATCTGTGGCTCTCCGGAAGCGCAGGGCCGCCCACGTTGCACCTCCCGGGCGTCTTTGCTGATTGCACCTGCGCCCCCTCCCCGGGACAGGAGACCCAAAAGACCCGCCCACCCACAACTCGCGGGCTCCACTCCCGGCCCAGAACCAAACACTTTACTTCCGGGGCGGGGCCGCGCTGACCACAAGCCCCGCCCCCATCACGTAACCCCTCCGGCTCCTCGGCCGCCATCGCTCCGCCCCCTTCCGGGTCAAGATGGTTCCGCCCCTCGTCGGGTAGGGGGTGGGGCTTGGCGGCGTTCGTTCCGGGCGCAGCATGTCTGGGCCGAATGGGGAGCCGCACGTGGTGGGCGGCGCGGGGCCGGGCGAGGACGGCGGCGAGGACAGCTTCGGGGAGGAAGGTGAGCGGCGCCTGGGGACTGGGGACAGCCGGCTCTGCTTGGCCTAAGGCAAAACGGCCACGCAGTGCGCCCCCCTCCCTGCAGCTCGGCCGCCCCCGGGGAGACGGGGGTTTGCTGCTCTGCTCCGGGGCTTGGGGCCAGGCCACGGTTGTGGGAAGCGCTGTGCCTGCCCGGGCCTCTGCCGCGGAGGCGAGGGCGAGGGCGAGCTCTGCCTGGGCCAGTGGTGCAAGATCTGGGATGCTGAGCGCTCTTCCTCAGGGCTCTTTGTAGTGCCTTGCACTGGGGATCGTGGCTAACCTTACCCGCCTACATCCTTGGCCCAATCAGAAATCCTGGCCTCTGGATGGTCAGGGCTGCATCACTGTTGCGCTACCATATAAGCAAGTGGAAATTCCTTCCTCCTCCTTTGTCAGGCTGCAATAGCTTGTTCAGAACGAATTGCAATTAAAGGAATTTTTTTTGCAAAAATCTTGTTGATCTAATAAATCAACTCTACTATGAGTCCTGATTGCCTTGTTCAGAACACACCCCAGACTGTACTGGGTTTGCCTCTGCATGCCTCCCCGCTGCTCCGGGCCATGTCCTCTTTGCTGCTCCAGCTGAGAAAACTAGACCCGTGCCAGTGGGATACAGGCTGTGGCACCCCTCAATGCTCCTTTCAGCTTTTTCAGCTGTGCACCAGCCAGGGAATCAACAGTTCAGCTTCAGCACCTGCTCTTGCTTGCTTGGTAGACCTGTAGGATCTCAAGAGAGTTTGGACTTTTCTACAGCTCCTTCCTAAGATCTCTTGAAGCTTTCTGTATCTGTATAGTTCTAGGTCTTATCAAGGCATTTGTTCCAAAGTATGTCGTTGCCAGTGGAGACTCATTAGATGACTTCATTGTCCTGTTAAATCTTGTTTTTTGTGTGTTGGCTATCCAGAAACAACACACAGTTCTGTTGTCCCCTAGTATGCTCTTTTCTAGTGGAGTTGCCAGTGGCTACTGTCTGCATTCATTGGTTGGGTGGCTGAACCCCCACCCACTTCAGCTTGTGTCATACCAGGAGCTCCTCTGGTATATTCCCCTTGTGGCTTCATGTTGCATTTCTGCAGACATTCAGCAGCTGACTTGCTGAGTGTCTGATAACACCCGTGATGTGCCTTGCTGGGTTGAACATCTGCCTCTTCTTCCTTGCTTATTTGCAGAGTTTTTCTGCTTTTTGGGGGGTCTCCACTCTCTCTGGTTTTCTTTATGCCACAAGGGGAAGAGCAATGCAGCAACAGCTATCAGTTGTCCAAAAAGCCTTTGCTTTCTCAGAGGCTGTGCTGAAACTTGCACTTCTAAACTGCTCCTCTGCCCATAGCTGAGAGGAAAATGCAGCACCCAGGGATTAACAGTGGCTCTGTTCAGGGGACCCAGCCATAAGGCCAGTACTGATTTAAAAATAGACTTGTCTCATCTGGCTGGATGATGAGCCTGTAGCTTGGGCACATGAAATAAACTGACCAGATGAACCCAATGTACCAGTTGCTAGTTCCTTTTACTTCCAAGCACAGGATCCTCTGTAACTCCCCTGTGTACTGCTCCTGTTCCCCTACTGAATGGTGGCTGCATGAGCTCTGGTGGGAGAGGAGGGCTGCTGACACAGGCCCTGGCATCTCATGAGGTCAGAGGATGAAACATCCTGACAGCTTCAAAACAGTACTGTCCTGGGCCAGGGGTGGGTCACTTGACATGATCTAAACAGTTTCATTGTGTTCCCATTCAAGTCAGAGTTGCTTACTTCAATGCCACACCTAAAATGGAAACACGGTCAGGAATCTTGGTATGGCAGCACGTGGTGCAGGCCTGAAGCTTTAGTGAGGATAGGGCTGCGCCCCAAGCATTTCACAGTGGTAATGACTGTACAGGTGTGTTGCTTCAGGTAACATGAAGGACATCTCCAAGTGAAAGTTGATCTAATTCTATGTTATAAAATTCAATCATACTTGAATGGAATGAGCATTTCATCTTGTCCTTTGAACAAGGAGCTAGGCTGGGGAACCAGCTTGAGCCTTGCCCTCAGGTCAGTTTGTGCCAACTGTGTGGCATTCAACTTTGATCCTGCACAGCTGGTTTAGACTAGTTTTTCTCTTCTCATGTGAGGTCTTAAATGGTCAAACAAGACCAGCATGGTCTCAGCAAATGGGTTAACAGCTTGGGGTGGATGAATTAGTGTGCCTCACTTTATTGCTCCTGGGATGTTGAAATTTTTCCATTTGGCCCTTGCAATGGGATTCACCCCTGCTCAGCCATGAGATGCTGTGATGTTGTAGCAGTTTAACCTAGGCCAGACCCTTAAGTGACAGGTCCCAGATTAAGCACCCTGAAGATGCAAGTCTTCCAGGCAGTGTAAGCTCTTCTGCAGTACCCTGCCACACTGTCCATGCCCTAAGCAGACAAACCTACCACAGAAGTTTAAATAGGTTAATTTAGCCCTGAGATCAGTTCAGATTTCCTGCATTTTTAGATTGCCATCTCCTTGGGAACAAGCCTGAACCCAACAACTTGCAGGCAAGTCTGAATTGTTCAGGTTAGATGGCCACTCCCCAGCTGTGCTGTTGCACAGAGGTAAAAAACCATATGTCACATCACCAGGTGCCCAAACCACCGTGTCCTATTGACTGTCCAAACCACATCTATGTGACGAGATGCAGTTGCATTTTACCTATATATGCTGCCTTGTGTATTCTGGGCACGTTTGTAAGAGGTCTAGCAGTGTGGTCCCTACTGTACTGAAGAGGCGGAGTAGAAGCTGAAATTGTTCTGCTCTCTTCTCCCTAGAATATGCAGCAATAAACTCCATGCTGGACCAGATCAACTCCTGCCTGGATCACCTGGAGGAGAAGAATGATTGCCTCCATGCCCGCCTGAAGGAGCTGCTGGAGTCCAACCGGCAGACACGTCTGGAGTTTCAGCAGCAGCTGAGCGAGGAGCAGAACAGGCAAACTGACATGCAGGGACCAGAGCCAACCAGCTAGTTCCATTAGTTTGTGCACAAACTGTGTCTCCTGGTTGATACTTCCCCAGGGACTTCCACTCCTTGGTTTAAATGTAAACTTGAACAGAAAAGGCACATCCTGCTTGCTGTGTCCCCTCCAGTGGTTCAGTTTTCTGCCCTTCCTGTACATTTATGTGTTTTCTCTTTAAATGTGTGACTTATACTACATAGGTAAAAGAGTAGGTGTGGGGGAAGTTGATCCTTCAACATGCCATTTAACTCCAGCACTGAGCCACCAGTGTCTCCACTGGAACTAGCCCATGGGAAGTCTTGTTCATGGCACAGGCCATGTGAAATGGAGTTGGCTGTCCTGCACAGCTGAAACTGCTTGGGGAGGGTGTCCATACCTGTATCTTGTAGCCTGTCTTTTCTCTAACATGGGAATTGTAAGGTGTACAGTGCTGGCACTCTTCTAGCAAATAGTGGTGCTGTCCCAGCCACAGCTTTGTTCCTAGCTTTAATCCTGGGCAAGATGACATGCTTCTGCCAGAGGCTAGTGTCCCAGTCAGTCTCCTGCCCTGTAGTTACAGCTCAATTCTAATTCACGTTGTCAGTTCTATACGAGCTCTGATTGAGAGAGGCTGGTTAACTTCCTAGAGCACAAGACTGACCAACTGGACTCCCTCTTCCAAGAAGATGTAGTGTGAACTACCATCATGCTCATCTTAAGCTGTAAATGGGAGCTTGCTGTGACATTTCTAGCTCTTATTGGTACAGCCTGGTGCCAGCATTATGAAGCAGTTGTTCATATTTCACTGCTGGATTTTTTTGTACAGCTTAAGGTTTTTGAACATTCAGAGGAACTATTTATAAGATAAATTGTTTTATTAAAATTGCCTTGAGCCTAACCACAACAGGAAGTCTCTTCTGAGGTTTGCTTTCTAGATCCTGTACTAGTAACTGAGCCCATATTCTAACCCCCATCCTGACCCTAGAAAAAGTGTTGGCTTGAAGCAGTAGAGGATACTGTAAAGGAGCGCACACTGTTCATCTAAGGGTGATCTCATCTCTCAGCAGTGAAAATTCCATTAGTCTCATAACATGCAATCATTAGAGCACATGATCTGAGGACAAGGAATGCCCTCAAGAGACAGACTTCTCTCCACGTCACTAGTCTAGATGTCCAGCTGGCTTTTCTAGTTCAAGCCATGAGCTTTTCCCCTTGAGCCCCAGGCATGCAGAACTGTCTAGTCCACTGAACCCCATCATCCCAGCCACATAAATAACAAGCCAGGGCCATCCTGTATTAGACACGCTAAAGCCAGGCTTATTTATTTTTAAAATAAAAACAGCAGTAAAGTTGAAGGTTTTTGCTCTATTAAAAGACTCCGAAAATAAACATTTCCAGCAAATATTGTATGCAAAGGGGCTTCCCCTTTAAGGCCATTCTATCTGAGTTTGCGTCGAGTGGAGCGTCTACGCCCAGCTGGGGTTAGACTGGCTGCCTCTTCCTCCTGGCCTTTGTTTGCTACCTCACCCTGCTCAGAGCTCCCTGAAGCTAGGGCTTTGTCTATGCCTTCCCATTGCCTGGTTTTGGTGCTGCTCTCTTTGCATGCAGGGTGTTCCAGCAACTCCCCTGTAGTGCTGTCCTCATCCAGGAGGAGGCAGTCTTCACTAGAACTAGGGGTCTGGTTTCCCTCCTCCCGACTCCCTTCCTCCTCTATGACCAAGGCTCCACATATATCATCAGTCTCACTGGCCAGGCTTTCACCCCTTCTCACAGAGGTGCCCAGCTCACTCTTGGTCTCCAGAGACCAAGAGCTTTGTTTTTTTAGTGCCAGTAATCCTGAAACTTTGTCTCCTGCTCCTGGATGGGCATTCACAGACTTGGCTTCTTCTGTCTCAGTGGCCAGAGGCTGCTTCTGATCATCCAACAGCTGGGCATGCAAAGAGGCCTCTGAGTGTGCTGCTGTGGCACGGAGCCTGGCTGCCTTGTATCTCTGCAAAGGAAAACAAATTGGCTTGAGCAATAATCAGGCTGGGACCGTCTACACCGCAGCAAGTGCCAGCTGGTCCAGGAAAAACCTGTATGAAGACAACAATGAAAGAGCTCCAATCTGCAATGGCAGGTCTCTGCCTGAAACACAGCCCAACTTTGGAGGCTCTTGATTTGACTGTTCAGGAAAAGTGTTATTTAAGCAGGGAAGTATTTGCTCCTGTGAGAAAAAAGGCTGTAGTAAGGGCCGACTCTTCCCTCCCTCTCCCCCTCCCAGCACACTTATCTTTCAGCTTTAAGAAACATAGAAGTAGAAACAGGCTTTGGCAGCTGTTAGCTCACACTAGGGATTTTAGACCTATCCAGTACAAGCGAGAGATGGAAGCTCTTCTTGGGCACCAAGAATCTCAGCTTTGGGGCTGCGTATGAAGAGAGAGACTGGCAATCCAAATACTTGGGTCTCTGCTGTCTTGCATGCACTCCTTGAAGGCATCTTGAATGGAAACAGATTGACCGTTACAGCATGGCCTATGTTTAATCACTGTGTGACACTCACCTAAGTCAGTAAAGTCCCACTGCTGTATCTGCTCTCACACAAGTGTTGTCAGGCACTTCACTTAAGTCATGTGTGAGGTTTTTGTTTTGTTTTTGAGAGGCAGATACATCCAGTTGCAAGAAGCCCCAGAGGCTTTCTAGATAGTGAATTTAGACCTCGCAGCATTGTCTGCAAGACTGATTACACAACTGGTTTTCAGGCAGCCAGCCAGTCAGCAGAAGATCAGTAGAGAGGTTAAAATTGCCTCAAATACTTCAAAGGAAATTTCAGAAAAATAGTATCCAATATACTGGCTGTATGAAGCCAAACTACTGAAATGCAGTGGTGAGAGATCCTTAGCTTAAAGGGATTTCTCTTATTCTTTGGTGATCCAAGAAATCCTAGACTGAACATGAGCCCTACAAATGCATCAAGCAGCAGGTGCTTCTTCCACAAAAATAGATGGGCTTCTGACGCTAAACTACTCTCTGAAACTGGGGCTTGCACTAAACCAACAACTAACTCCAATATCCTAGTCAGGTTCTCATATTGTGGGTATCTGAGAACACTACCCCCAGAAGCATGGTAGAGCTGAAGCAGAATTGTAGTAATTGAAGGGGTTCAGTTAGTAGTAGTTAGCACCGAGGTAGGAAGTAAAGTCCTTCCCTGATATTTCCCAGCTCCTAGGGATCAAATTTTAACAAACAAACAAAAAAAAACTTTTATCCCTCAATACAAATCAGTCAGTGAAGATCCATCCTGGGTAGTGCAGAAACCTAACAAGTCCTGATGAACTGGGTTAATCACTCCGCAGGTTCCTTCCTAATCTCATTCCTAGTGCCTAAGAACAAAGCAGGGAGAAACGGTGCGCAGCACAAGGAATTGCCACTGGATGGAGATTGCATCTTTCTTACTCCGGACCAGCCAGAAAAACCCTGCAATGTAACAGCAAGTCAGTGCATGCCTAGCAGGAAACTGCCCTGAGCAGGTCCTTTGACAATGCACAGTACTCTCATCTGCCTTGCAACGTTCAGCCCAGCTACTGATATTTTTAAATGTGATTTTGTTGAACTGGTGCAAACTCCAGTGCAGATTCATTTCATCCCAGCAGCTTATGGCACTTAGCTAAGCCTTCCTAACAGCCTTACGCACAGCAATATGTTCTTTTGTAGTCGAAGCAGTTTAAGAGTCCTATCTGAACTGGAAAGGATTTTAACTGAGCAGGTCCAAATCAACTGCTCTGCAGTGAGCTGCCTCAAGGGCAAGACATTCTCTGTCCTCAAACCCTGCAGCGGAGTATGCTGGCCACAGTGCTGTTTGCCCTGCCACAGAGAAACTACAGTTCTCTTTAATTCAAAGACTGTGGCAACAACATGTTCAATGCAAGGGCCAGCTGCCTCCAGCAGTGATCACAAGCCTCAGAGATTACGTATAAACTGAGTCCAGCCCAAAATACTTGCAAGGGCCAATTTCTTCAGGTCACACCAGCATAAATGTGAATTTGTGGGCTTGGTAAACATGACTGAACTGAGACCCTTGGTAGCCCTGGAGACTACCCCCATTATTTTACAGCTAGGAAACCAAGGCACAGAGAAGTTAAGCCACTTACCTAAGCATAGACCACCACTCACTGGTAAAAGATGGGAAGAGAATAGGAAGCCTAACTATCAGAGAACACCCACTTCCTGCTACTCCAGTGCATGGAAGCAGCCATGTGGGCCATTTCCCTTGGTCCTACCAGCCCTTAGGTCACAAATTCAAGGCCACAGCAGAAGTGCTCATGGCACAGCCTGTCAGATTCAATGAATCTGAGAATTCTGCTAAATACCTTGTCACAAGGACACAAAAAAGAAAAAGAACCGATGAAGGGCAGGGAAAATGAACTGCTGCTGCTCTGACTCTTTAAACAGGCCAGCAGTGGGGACTGCAAAACAAATGGAACTAAGTAACTTGCACTGCAAGTAGGCTTTTGCCTTCATTCCAGGGATGCTCTGCTTGGGAACGGTGACCCAGAGGGGCAGTTAATGGTCCCAACTTCCTGATTTAAGAAGTGCTTAGGCTTAACCAGCTCAGCTATGGAGCGAGTCTGTTGGAAGGCTCCACCGGACATACCACAGAGGCTAGTTTGCTGGTGCAGGTCCTAGGCTCTGGCCCCAGAGGAAAGAAACTGGAACTGCCCTCCCTACCAGAGGTCAACAAAATGCTGTTTCATGCGCAGACAGGACCCAGGTAATGGTTACTGAGAGGGAAAGGGGAAAACATACAGTGCTGATCTCCAAGACAGGCCCAGGTGGACACACACAGCCAAACAGGACACGGGTAGATCTCCCAGCCCAGGGGACACTTGGACAGAGGATGGATTCATAGTTGGATGCAAGGGAAATTCTAGTTCCACTGGAGATTAGGAATTGGGGAGGAACACCAGAAACTTCCTGAACTCTGGAAAGTTACCAGAAAAGTTCAAGTTACACCCTGTGGCTGCTTTGTCCCTTGGAACCAAATCTGCACTCAGCAGGTCAGGGCTGTTCCCATGTTGTACGTTATCTGGCACTTACACATCTATCAATTTAAAATAAGAAGCCACCTGGCCTCTCTTCAGTTGTTACTTCTACATATTTCAATTACAAAGGACCCATTTCCAGCATCACTGATGCTGTGGCTTCATGAGGGTCAGTGAGGACCTTTTCCTACTCTTTTAAAAAGGAGCAGCCTCTTCATGACTAGTTTCCCCAGCTCTGCCCAACTGCAATCCATTTAACAGAAGATCCCAGGCTGAATCAGGAATTGCATTTTACAGGTTCAGTGAACAAAATCAAACATTCTCCGAAGAGATACCCAGCTTAGAATGGGCAGACAACAACATTAGCAAGAGTTGGGGAAAGCAGGAGTGGAACTGTCTGCTCTACAAGAGGAGATGGAGACAAGCAGAGGGCACACCAGATGAAAGCTGTGGCATGAGGGACATCAAGGATGATGGACACATGTTGAAGACAAGACAGCTGAAGGGAAGAGTCATTGAGGAGACAGGTAATGGGGAGGAGAGGGGGAATGAATGCCAGGCCATGCAATTGCCAAAGGGTCTAACCTGAAAGTTCTCAAAATGCATCAGGGACTTGCAGTGCGCGAGCCGGGCAGCAGAGTCGCTATGGTAGAATTTGTGACACAGTCTGCAGAGGTAACCTGCGACGGGGACCAGAAAATCCAGGCCTGCGAAACGGGAGGGGAAGGGAGATCACAGATCACATTGAATGGAACTCCAGATAATGAGCATGTGTTAAAAAGGAACTTAAAAAAAAAGGAAAGCTCTGCTTCTGTTAATTGGGGGGCTTGCAAGACAGCCTACTGAACATCTCATCTTGCCACAGGACAGGTCTGTGACTCATATTTCAGAGAGAAATCTGGCTGCTGGAGCACAAAAACTACACAAAGCATAAAAAAAGAAATACAGTGGAAAACTACAGAGAACATGTGATCATGTGTAATGGGATCAAACCAAGCAGAAGACAGCAGGCACTCGCAAGGGACAGGCAGAGAACATTCACAGCATGAATCATTATTCCATCTGCCACATGATAGTGGGAGGTTACAGCAATGTGGAAGATTGGGCTAAAACAGCTCTCCCCATGCGTGGAGGAGCCTCTCCCGGTGTGTGCACTCCCTGCCCTTTTTGCCCTGCGTGACTGGTCACAGCCATTTTGGAAATGGAAGTTTGAGCTCCTTCATTGACTAAGGTGGTGGCTAGAAACAGGGCAAGAGACGACGTTCTGGAGGCAGCGTTCCCCACAAGGGCAGCCAAGTGTCGTTCCAAGCAGAAGCTAGTCTAGACAGCGGTGGTCTTGAGGCAGAGGAAGTGTGTACAGGCTCCTCAGGGGATCCTGGTGGTGCCTGCCCAATGTCTCCACTTAGTTGTATTTCTGCTGAGGAGACTTCCAGGCAGCACACGCCCAGGCACCATCCAGGAGCTGGTACCCGTTTCCTGTATGTGTCCTGTTCTGGTGCCTCCCTCACCCCAGTCATCCCACCCTTCCCCTGCCCCCACTCCCCTGGACAGGTTTGATGGTTCTCACCCCATCTACTCAAAGGAGAACACTGAAGCCACTGACAGCTCCGAGGAACAGCATCTGCATTCCTTTCACTCGCAGCTGAGCTGCACATCAACCTCTGGCCCTTTCTTCAAGAACTGCTCTTCTGCCAGTCTCATGAGAATGCTGAAGACAATCTCTGTGCAGGAGCCTCTTGCCCACAGTAAATGAAAGCTCCCCCATCCCCATTACAATAACAGCCTATGGCCACAGTGTTTGTCTCGCTTGCTTACCATAGGCGGTGTCTGGACAGTACTTCTCATTTCCTTCATAATCCTCTGGAGACATTTCCTTCAAACCAACCTGAACAGAAGCAGAACAGGGTGGTGCTGAGCGTCCCTGGCCTACAGCTTGGCCCAGCTGGCACTATGTCCTAGCCTTGAACATTTTCTGAGGTGCTGGGGTAAAACGGAGATACAACAATCCTAAAAGATGTTTGCATTTCCTGTTACCATAGGAAGGAGGTAAAATAAGCCCCTTCCTTGTAGGGAGGTTCAGCCTTCATGCCCAATTACCTGAACAGACTAGTCACTATAGCACATGGGAAAGTTAAAGCCAGAGAGAAACCAAACAGGAGGAAACTATTTCATTAGCAAGGTTAAAACCACCATCTACATTCCAGGCCCAAGGTACACTCAGTTGCATCCCTCCCACAGTTAAGTTTCTGAAACTACTGTACTGAAGAACTTCATATGCCAAGATATACCTATACTAGTATACAGGTAGTATACCGGCATGTATACTATGAGATCTAGGGCAATTCCAGACTGCTGAATAGTCAAGTCTAAAATGTATCATTTGCCTTTGTTAGGATACCCTAGAAATTCCTCTTCCTCCCTCCTGCCCCATAGAAATGAAAGGGTCTCCAAAAACAACATGTTCTCCTCAGTGCTTCACATTACAGCTAATGTCTTTGCAGCTGAGGTGATCCTAGATCCAATTAAAGTTGTTCTTTGATCAGTAACAGGAGTTACTGTTACAGAACACCAGAAACAACTAGCCCCGTGTATGAGTGGACCAGATTCTCCTCCACAGTCTGAAGGGCTCTAGAGGAGTCCCTGATGCTTCACCCCACACTGCTCCCTGGGAACAGGTCACACTGGTCTACCAAGAGCCTCAAGCTCCACCAGACCGGACTGAGGCAACCAGGAGGATACAAACCAGTGCCCCCAGAGCCTCTGGTTTCCATTGGCACTGCATACCTGCTTGGCAATAGGATCTTCATTCTCTGTCAGCACCACCTCTGAGTCTTCCTCTTCACCCCCTCCCTCCTCCTCTTCCTCTTCTTCATCATCCTCTTCAAAACAGCCAACAGCATCCACTGTGATTAGCTCCTCCGAGTCCTCTGGCCCACCCAGCTCCTTCTCTCCCAGCCTCACCTACCAGGCAGAAAGAAGAGACAGCAGACCTAGTGAGATTGCCAGCTTCACACACTTACTCAGTGCTGATCTTGGGGGGCCCTCCTCCTGATCCTGGGAGACTGACTAGGCCCTTCCAGAGCCTGGGCTGCTCAGTGAGATAACTGGACACAACCGCTAGCAAGTTCCACCAGGCTTCTATCCTGGTTTCATGCACACAAGACTCAGTTTCTAGTCTGCTCCTCTGAGCCCCATTCATGGGAATAGTCAGCAAGGAGAGAAGCCACTGGGTAGGAAGAACCGATACCTGCCTGTACAGTGTCCCATCATCCTAGTGATGGTTTGAGGCCTACAGGACATGTGCACACACCCAGCTTCACTAGGGCAGCCAGTCCTAGAACCGCTGTACTTCCCTTCCCCTCCTACCCCCCACAGTCCAACTGGTTTTTACCTCCTTGGCTTTCTGCTTATGCTCAGGAGACTTCATGTGCTCCACAAACTTGCGCGGGGTCTTGAAGTGGCGGCTGCAGACAGTGCAAAAGGGACGGAGAGAGCGTTTGGCCAGCTGAGGAGAGAGGAAGGAAAAGACCTGGTTGGTCAAGAAAGACACCAGTCTGCTTTCAACAAAGCTTCTCACAGAAACACAGGCCTAGTTCTTCTGGAACAGTCAGGCCACACAAAGCATGACCTCCTCCCTGCACAAGAGGGGAAGCCCCAGGTCACATGCTCCCAAGCTCATCTGTGACAGAGGTAGATGTCTGCAGCAACCTCATAGTCTTTAAAGATCTTCCCACCACTTGTTGTACGAGTGGGGTTTGCTGAAGCTGGTGTCCCACGCAGACAGCTCAGGCTGCCTCCTTTAAAATTTCCTTCCAGTAGCAGCTAATCAAAGCGCAGTATCATACCTCTGCACGCAGGAGATAGGAGTCATATTTATTATATTCAATTAGAAGACAAGAACCAGGTCCTGCCAATCAGTACCAGCACCACTCAGCATGAAAACCAGGATATCCCCAGTACCAGTGTATGGGCACCCCAGAGAACCAGAGGTGCTAGGGATTGCACTGTGGTGCTCAGGGTACTTCCAGAGAGATCTTCTTGGGTATGGCCTCCACCTTGCTCTTCTCTCCTGCTGCTGGGAGAGAAGCTAAGTGTTTCTTTCCATTTAGCTCCCTCTAAGTCAGGAAACACAAAAGCTGATTTGTTACCTTGTGTTCTTGGGTCCTTCGATGTTTGATGAGATCCCCTGTGAAGTGTATTTGGCAGGTGTTACACCAGCGCTGCCGGGGTCCTCTGCAACAAAGAACGTCTCAGTAAGATTTGGTACGCTCCAAAGATACAGTGTGTTCCACTTGCATGTGTCCTGGAGAAGCGCATAATTCACTCAATTGCATAATGCAGTGCCAGTTCCCGTTTGTTGGCTATTACCTACGTTGTAACAAACTCTGGTTATCTGCATATCAGTTAAATGTGTTAGACCTGTCAGGTCCATTGTTTCTCTTACTTAATTGTACTCTGATTAACAACACAGTAAGAGGGCTTGTCTACTTTAACTTAAATATCCTCCACTTAACCCATCAGGAAGGATGATGGAGAAAGCAGCTCTGAAGCCAACTAGTAGAAACCTTAAAAATGAAGGGAGCTAAGTAGGTTCAGGGCTGCAGATTCTACTGCACTAGGTACTTAATAGGTACTGATAACATTAAATTCAAGTAAGCATATAATCCTGAGGCTATGCACATAAACAGAATACACCACCTACTCCCGGTTGTAGTTCTGCTCTCTTAGCATAATTCTTTCCCCTAGTGGGCTACGGTTCAGCTCATCTCTTCCACCCTTACCCAGTTTAAGTCACACCAATAAAAATGTACCTGGTGCTGGACAGTATGAGCTAATGCACTATAATAAGAACTGCACAGTGGACACAAAGTCAATATAGCCACACCACAGAAAAAGGCTGAATAGGCTGCCTGACAGGATTTAAAGCCCAAGAAAGCAGGTGGATGCTGCATTGTGACCTAAGCAGTAATGCAATCTGGTGGGGTGGGACTGAAGATCTACTGCTTCTGGCCTCTGTAGGATCAGCTGTGTCTACCTCCAGAATACACACGTACCCACTTTTCTCCACCAGAGACTTCTGCTCTTTCACCATAGGCAGCAGTGAGACAAAGCAGATATTGCTCATGTGCTGAATCTCTCCAAGTCGCTGCTGGTGCTGAATTCCAGCCATGTGGGACTGGAAATTCTAAAAAGAGAGGAGAGAAGTTAGAAAAAAAAATGCATTTAGATACAGACTCAAATACAGAAATGGATGATCAGGTCTCTGCATTCCACCCTCTCTACAGATCTATCACATCTGGATTGTTTTAAAGCTTAAGCGAGTGGCTCCCTGTGGATCAGACCATGCTGGCACTTTAGGGTGTCTGCTTACCAGCTCCTTCAAAGAGAAACATGGCTCATTTTATTCAGTTTTTTATAGGCTTTTCTAGGTCTCTCATTAGTGAAGCCTCAAAACACGTCTCTGAGCACAATGTTGGCTCCAGGCACCTGGCCATGCAGTCCTTTCCCCTTGCCTGCCAGGTCTGATGCAGCTCTTGTGCTTATACCTGCTGGTTGCAGCAGTTGGTCTTGCAGATGTAACAGTAGAACTTAAGGACAGGCTCAGGGCCAGCATCAGTTGTGCCCAAGTCACAGGTCCGGTACCCTGGCTTCAGGGCTGTGGTGCTGATGGCTCTGCTCTCGCTGCTCTGCTGGATAGTCACTTTCAGTGAACCCCCAGAAGTCAGTACCTGCTAGAATAAGAAAAGACTGGGTAAAGGTCTCTCTTAAACTACCGATGGCCAAGGAGACATTTCTAGCACCTGAGAATGTACCCAACCTCTCTAGCACCTGAGAAAATGCACAAACTTTAGTTAACCTCATGTCATTCAAGGCCTCTTGCATTTGCACTCAATGTTACCACCCCTTCTGGGCAATCACTTCCTGAACTACAGGAATTATTCATGGATCTGCCAGCACAGAGTCACTCCCAGACCAGTTTGTATTTTTACGTTCCCAATTCCTAATGGCCTCTGAAGACATTTTACACAGATGCAGTCCTCAGTAGCTGCAGGCCCAGCTGGAGGCCTTTAATGGCCTGTTTTTACTCATTGCAGAAAAAAGGATAGTTTAGCATTACATGCAATAGGCAAAAAGTAGAACAATAAGCATACTGCCCCACCCACTCATAAAGGAAGACCCCATTAGAACAGAGATGTCACAAGACAGCCATATCCGAATCTGCCAGGACATGCAGGGTCAAAAGTTCAGCTGTTTTCAATGGAACCACACGGATTTATATTAAGCGAGGCTCCAACCTGGAGCAGATCAGCCTTAGGCATCATTGCTTGATTTTAAGAACCTATTGGCACAAATTTCTAGCCTGCTACCTCCTGCTGGTTACAACAGTCTTATCTGGGGGCCTGATTCTTCCCTGTCTCTGCTTGAGGGCCAAGTCCCAACTAGTTTCTTTCCCCTGCTGACTGTTAAACAACAAGCTGCTTGCCAGCATTTGGCTGATTTACCAGCCACAGTAAAGGAAGAAATGTGCATCTCCATTTTCTATCACAGCAACCCTCACAAGTTATCTGCTGCTTTCTAAACTTTCATGTTCATCTCAAGCTACCAGACATCTGCTGACAATGGCTGTTCCCTTCATAAGGTAGACAATCTCCAAGACCAGGGCAGGCAAAATACAGTCCATGGGCTGGATTTAGCTCACCAGGCAATTTCATCTAGCCCATGGGTGTCCACCAATTAATTTTATCCCACCCAGCCTGCACACTTCACTCCCACCCTTGTGCGTGGGAGGACCCTGCCCCAGCCAGCATGCACAGCTTCCGAGTGGGGCCGCTGCTGCCATTGCTGCAACTGCCGGGGGACCTGCTTAGCTTCCTCTGCCTCCAGCAGCTCCTCCTCATGTCCCTGCTGCAAGTAGGGAAGCTGCAGCTGGGCAGAAGCGCAGTACATGCGGCTCGGGCTAGCAGGAGCGCAGAGTGTGGGGCCCACACACAGAGGGGTGGCAGGAACATGGAGCTCAGGTGGGCAGAGGGTAGGTATGTGGGGTTTGTGGGGTGAGGGAGGGTGGGGGGACCCCCCCCATTGTCCACAGCCCCTACCACTGACAGCAGCAGTAAACAGTGGGCCGGGGTGCTCATGGCCCATGCAGGTACAGCTGCCCGGTGGTGCACAACTCCAGCAGTTCCAGGAGCTGCACATGGCAGCAAGGAGCAGAGCCAGGCAAGGCTTTTCATGGGACTTCCCCTCTGATGGCGCATGAATCCTGGGAGCTGCATGCGAGTCCCGCGCAATAGAGGCAGGCTGGCCTGGCTCCACTCCTTGCTGCCATGTGTGGTTCCTGGAACTGGCTGGAGCTGCGTGCTGCTGGGTGGTTGCATCTGTGTGGGCCATGAGTGCCCTGAGGGCCTCCTGCTGCTGCTATTAGTGATGGAGGCTGTGCACCATAGGGGGGCATATGGGGGGTCCTCACCCCCCTGCCTTCCCTCAGACCCCACAAACCCCACACATATACAAACAGCCACAACCCCCAACGTACCCTACCCCACCACAGCCACACTCCCTCACAAACCCCACATACATCCCCACCCCACATACACACATACCCACCCCCACACACAAAATACAGGAGTAAAACTTTACTTTTGAGCTATTATGCAATCATCTCTATAGACATTATACAAATACACAAATCGGGACAAAAATATTTTTTAATACACATTATAGTGGATGTTTGACTTGGTATACAATTTGCTTTTTTTCCAGTCCCAAGATGGCACCCCCCCCACCCCCTCCCAATAAGGAGTACTTACAGGGGGCAAGGGGAGCAACTTCTGCTGGCAAAGAGGTCTGGGGGTCAGGACTTCCGGTCCCAAGATGGTGACAGGGGGGCAGGGCACCTGTCAAGGACCAGGACTACTGTTGCAGCCCTTGACGGCTGACCAAAACTCGTTAAATAGCCATCAACAGAAATAACTGCCCAAACCTGTTCGGGATGGAGCTGAGTGCAGTTCCCACTTGGAGACTCAGAAATAAGTCCCACTAATAACAGATGTTAAGATCAACTTAAAACACGTGCAGACATACAAATGCCTTCTAGGACAGCAGTGAAGTCTTAAATCCCATGCTAGCTCCAGTAGACAAAGTGCAGATAGTGAGAACTATTTAGGTTCCAAAATCTTAGCAAAAGTGCAGATGACCATGCCATTACACTCTACTGTAACTTTAACAGAGACAGACTACACATTACAGCTTTCTACTGTGGTACAATGCCTCACCTCAGGCCTTGGTACCAATCCCAGAGCTGGGTGCATCTTAATCTGCACCACAAAAATAGATCTGGGTACAGTCAGTTCTTTGGGATAGGAGAATATTCTGTACAGTGATTACCCACCTCAGGAGCCTTTGGTTCCTCTGAGAAGTTCCTCTCTTTAGAAACGTCTTCAGCCATGTACTCCTTCACAGTGTCAGGCCCTATAACAGAGAGGCCCTTCAGCTGCATTAAAACTTAGCAATGTTTACAAAAACAAAACAAAACCCAAAGAAGCAAGTGTACAAAGCCAGAAAGCTTTGATTACTCCTCTGTAATGCTGGCCCCATGCCCTTAACCTTTCCTGATCACTCCTCAATGTCGCTATCAGTTACCCTGCAGTCCCAAAGCATTGATCGTACTTTCATAAAGAGATCCTTGTAAAATGAGAATTCATTCAATCATCTATGCATCTTTGGCTGTTCAAAACAATCTGGATACTCCCACACTTAGAGAAGAGGGACAGCCACTACCGCATATTCTTGGGGCTTTGGTCCCAGTATTTCTCTTTCCTTGCCTGCCATCTTGCATGGTTTAAATATAAGAATATTTCTGCAAAGACTCTGCATATTTGTACTGCAATTCCAGCAAGAGGCAACCTATGAGTCCAAATAACTGTAAACACAGCATCTCACTCTACCACCGATTTGAGAAGCCAATCCCTCACCCGTATCACGATAACCCCAATAACCCCTTACCATCTTCTTGGCTTTCCATGCTTGGCTCGTCTGCTTCCCTGCTGCTTGCAGCATCCTCTAGCACTGATGGTTCTTCCACACTTCAGTGAAATGAAACAAAGGAAGGGGGAGGGAGGGGAAAGAGAGAACAAGGTTATCTCCCACACCCATATCTAGGAGGATGGCCAGGCTGGCATCTGAACCACAGGCCAAAGAGCAACCTCCAGAGCTTTCAATGGTCAAATGAGAACCTGGGTCTCAGAAAGAAACTAATAATATGTTGCTGTTGCAGGTGGTCTTTCTAGTGAAGGCTCAGCAAAACAGGACAAAGACCAGGCACTCTGCAACCGTGCCCAAGTAGGCACGAAATGATTGCTCCAGGATAACAAATGCTGTGAAGGTATAAGGTAGGAGGGAAGGGGAAAGGTTCCTTACAGTATGAGACCTGAGATCCATCCCCTCCCTTGGCTAGAAACCTTCAGGACAATGGAAGCACTCAGCTTTTGTCAGATGGGGGCAAGGGGAGCTCATGACAGAGACTACTTGGCACCAGGCAGGGGTTTTTAGTAGCTGTGTCTCACTGAGTTTTACATTTTACTGAAGATTTTGCATTCTACTGAAGCAGATAATCAACAGGTCATTATGAATTAGAAACAATACACAGTACTCATTTAAAGAAGCTGGCTTGGCTCTCTTTGTTGCCATTGGTTTGATTTAGAGTGAAAGCATGCTAGGAACATGGGAGTGAGCAAGCTGCAGAAATTTTTTTCCTGCAGATTTCGCTCTCTCTCTTCCTGACTGTGTATCAGCACTAATACTAGTCAGCAGGGCTGGAAAAGCTCTCCTCTCCCAGGCCAGACTTGCACATCACCTGCACTGCTCTTCAAGCAATGAGATGTGGCGCACTCTTAACTCTGACTGCATGCAGTCACCTTCCTGCCTGCCTCAGGATTCAAACATGTACACTGCATATTTTATCAGATTGTTAAGTGATAAAGTAACTGGGTTACATAGCTATAAATGCACTACAGGGTTCTGGCAGCACAGAGCAGAACAAAACAAGAGTGGCTTGCATTCAAGGTATCTGTTTGGGGCTGACAGTGTTCAATACCAGACAACACAGATGGAGGCAGCTCCTTAGGGCAGGAAGACCCAGAGAAACAGGAGTGTCACTGTTTTAACTGAGGAGAGGGCACTGCGCTGATGCTTATCAGCCTTGATCGGCGGTGTGGGAGGAAGTGGTATGTCAAGAGGGATGCAAATCAAGATGCTTGGAAGCCTACTGCAATGGAGTGAGGAGGTTGTTCCAGGCATATGGACAATGCATAAGTAGGAGAAGGAAAGGACGGGGGAGAGGAGGCTGGTATACGTGGCAGAGTGAAGAGGAGAAGGTGGGGGGAAGCAGAAATTAAAACATGCATGCAGGCTGAAGTAGTTCAGAGCTTTGAAGAGAACAAGACTTTTCTAATAGTGTTAACTCTTTCTACAGGCACAAGTTCAGTTCACAAGAAATTTCCTAACCTTCATCCCCAACAATACATACACCAAACATGTTAAGTCTCCACCCAAAGCCCAGTAAAGGTGCAACAGACATGTAGTTATAGCAAAGTCTCCCCACTTTGCTCAGACTTCGTTTTTTTCCAACAGATGCTATGGGCCATTGAATAATGTACTGCAAAGTATTATCATAATTAAAATTAACCAACTAAATAGATAAGCCACGTATATGCTGTGAGACACCAGCCTTTGTTTTAAATACACTTCTTCACCTTCTTGCTGATTTACAAGATTGCATAATTCAGAGCAACCAATAATACTGGACACTTCTATAAGGCTTTACCCAGTCAAACTGAGGTACAAACATCCAATCCACCCCTGAACATCCTTCACCTATTAATTACCCAATTAGGCAGAGACACACACTTGCCCAAGACCAAGCAGTGAACTGGCAGCAAAGAGGAGATTGGAACCCAGGGGTCCTGACATGCAGTCATTAGTGCAAGTCAGGGATCTTATTACTCCACTTAAATATATCATAAACATATTCACTTTGGAGGGAAATTCTCAAGTCAGAGTCTCCGATACAGGGTGGAGGAACACAAATGATCTTTAAATGTGTGAGAGTATCAGGTCTGGGAGAGAGAGCCTGGAATAAGCAGCTTCCTACCCAGTAGATGGTGCTATGACACTGCATGTTTCCTGACAGAACAATTAATAGCAAAGCAGAGAATTTCCTAGATGAATCTCTTGTTGCGGCCCCTGCATTGACGTTACACAACTCCATGTGTTTGTCTATGCACGAGACAGACGAGGGTCCTGAGCAGCCGACGAGAACACCAACGGATGCTGGTTCCCCATGCTGCGGTGTGTTGCTGCCCCTCCCCCCACAGGCCTCAAGACAAAACACTCGGCCATTTCACGTTATCTGCAGCATTTGGGATCTCCATTTACTTCCCCCATTTCTCATAGGTGTGAACGTCCCCCGAGGCTCTTGTATTTGCTTAGCTTTTGCAGGCTCTCCCTGCAGCAAGACACAATCTCAATGCCTGCACCTCTTTCATTCCCTGCTTTTGTCCCCAAGCGCAGCTCAGTAACAGGTACTCCTTTCCCAAAAGAAAAGCAGTACTGACACCTGCCCACACAGCAAAGTGGAACAGTCTAGGGCTTTTCTTTCTATTGGCACCCACCTACATGCTCCTCTCTGGCATTTAAGGAAAAGAACTGACATCAAGTAGGCTGGAACAGCAAAGGAACATCTCCGCTTCTTTTTATGCATCTAGGCAATAGCACAGCTCAGCAGTGTCATCTTTGTGGCCTGCCTATACAGGACTGCTCTTGCTGCTCATCACCATCATGGTTGTGCTACTGGCAACATAAAACCAGCAGTGCCCTGGGCTGCAGCAAGTGCCAGGAGTTTGTTTTGTGTCATGCACCAGCATAAGGGCATCCCTCAGATGCCTGTGATCAGGCTGCCATAGCACTGCTCATAGTGGGAACATAGCCACAAACATCAGACAAACAACCCACATCCAACAGGCATTTCTATGACCTCTTCATTAGAAATTACCTCTTTAGTTTCTTGGCTGCAGGCTCAGTGTTCAGGCTTGATTCTGGTGGAGTTTCTGGTTCTGCAAGAAAAAAAAATAGATATCATTTTGGCAGAAGAGACCACAGCCCCTCTTGTCTGATCAAATGGCCTCATCCAAATACAGTGCTTCAGGGCAGAACACAAACTCCTGGCCAAATCTGGGCTTGAGAAGAATGGTGGTGCTGGGACTGGACAGCTCAAGAGATACCTCATGACCAAGGATATGGGATTGTGTCCGATACAACATGGAAACATGCAATTTATTAAATAAACCTGTGCCCTTTACCATGTTGGTTGCAAGGAGGTACCATTCTACACAAGTTTTACCCTGGCCATGCTGACTTTATGTTGCCAAGCCAGCACAATAGCCATCATTTCAAAATGGTGTCCTTTTCCCAGCCTACTTTGGGAAGGAGGGGGGGACACAGAAATCCTTTATCAACGTGATTTTTAGAGGCAAAGGAGCAAATAACCTAGTCTGGAGTAGACATCAGAAGGGATTAGCTGAAAGGGAATCATTGCAAGAGTGATGCATGCAATGCAACAAGAGACCTTTCTCCTGTTCTGGAGATGGGGAAGTGTCAGGTACACCAGCTCAATACTGCACAGAGCTTCCACCTGATTAATCAAGAGCCATGGTGCTCGTTTACAACTTCTAAGTAAGCAGCTATGAGCATAAAGCAGTCCTGAGCAGGGGGCTCCCCCACGCTAGATGAGTTACGACTTTTGAGAAGAGACTTTTTTGCTGTAAACTGTTGCATCAGTATCCTGCAGAGGTTTCTTGGCCTGTTCAGAATTTCATTTCTCCTCTTACCTGTAGGGCAGTTGTTCTGTTCTGACCCTGCCTGGGCATCCTCTTGGATTTCTAGTTTCTCATCACCTCCTTGGGTCTGAGATGATGATCCCTGATCCAGCTCCTGCTTCCTGTCAGGGGTCCTCTGGAAGTCCTGCAATCAGCAAAGAGCCTCAAACCCAGCTCCTCATGCCTTCAACCCCATTCCCCAGCTCTCCAAAAGTTCTACCATGGGACCAGAATGGACGTTCAAATACAGAAGGACCAAGGCTGGTGGACAAATGAAGCACTACGAATGGATCACAGACTGTCTGAACCCACTGACACCTCTCCAAAGGAATCTGTAGCAGGTTCAGTGCACTTCAGGGACCCTTCTTAAACATACATGGGCTGGAAGAAAGAATGAGCACCAAAGGACTCTTTTTTTCTTTCTCCTCCAAAGAAAAAAGCACAATCAGGGTCTGAAACATCAGTTTACCCAGTGTATCTTTTATTGGAATAAAAAGGGAGTGCTAGCTTAAGCCAAAGGCTCTGGAAAAATGTCATTGAGCATCAGACTGTATTAATAGAGAAAGCATGAAGCTGGCACAGGGGGGAGAAGTCCTGGCCAGTTAAAAAACAGTCCCCAGCAGAGTCCCAAATAAGTCTGAGCTCAGACATCTGGAGACAAGTGGAAAAGAGGGGGAAAAGGGTGTGATCCTGTAACACTTTGCACCTAAGAGCACCACAGGACTGGATACATTTTTATCAATTAAACTTGACAACATTCCTATAAGCAAGTATTATCCTGATTTCACAGACAGGAAAATGGAGGCACTGGTGGCACCATGAGTCAGTGACAGAGGCTGTAATAGAAGGGCAGACATCCACTCCCTTGCTTTCGTCTTTGAATCAAACCATTTTTGAGTTATGCCAGTTCCCAGGAGGAATATGGCCTTGTGGGGACTGCTAGGGAAGGGTTAATAGGATTTTTTATTTTAGTGACTACATGGAACTATTACAATTAATCCAGAAATCCTGAGTGAGTCCTTAACACCACAACTGCAACTGGAATCACTAAAGCCTGAAGAGCAGGATGATTTGACCATAAAGATTCTGTATCAGCAACACAAGACTAAAGTGATTCTCATTTTTTCCCAGTTCTCCTTAGCACCCTGTATAAAAATCATGGAAATTAAGAGCAGGCAGGGACCTCGAAAGATCACCGAGTTCAACCCCCCTGCTCTGGGCAGGAATACTGCCAAGATGAAATGATCCCAGCAAGGTGCCTGTCCAGTCTCCTCTTGAAGACCTCCCAGGTTGGAGACCGCACCACCTCCTTGGGAAGTCTATTCCAAATTCTGGTCACCCTTACCGTAAAGAAGTTCTTCCTTACATCCAACCTGAAACCATCCTCTAAGAGTCTTTGGCCATTGCTCCTTGCCCTTCGTGGGGGTGCCCTAGTGAACAGTTTCTCTCTCAGCTCCCGATATTCATCCCTTACATACTTATAGATGGCCACCAAGTCCCCCTTTAGTCTTCTCCTCTCCAGGCTGAACAGTCCCACAGCCCTTAGTCTTTCTTCATAAGATCTGTCCTACATCACAGGTAACCACTACTACTGCCTGAGGGACACCAGCTTGCTAAAGAAAACTAATTTCGGAAAAGCTTTAAGCCACAGGCTCACCTTGCGAAACATCCGATTCTGCCGCTGGAAAGGGAGGCCTGGGAAGCCAAGCCGTGCAGGCTTTAATGAGACCCCAACAGGTGGCGGCCCCAGCAGGGAATGTCTTGTAGCCTGAGGGAAAAACTGTTGCAGTGCTGGGGCTGTCATATTAAATCCTCGCAAGTTTCCTACAAATGCAAACACACGGGACATCACAACCCAGCAGGGAATCCCAGGAGACAGCAAGTACCCTGCTTATGGCAGCAGCAGCAGCTGTGGGGGAAGATCTCCTTTATGTATGGACTATTCGCAAGATATTGCATTTGGATAGCCTGCACAGAGTGGCAACACAGCAAATAAGTAGAAGAGCCCAAGAGTAGAACCCCAGCTCTCCCACTCAAAGACCTCAGGCCCAGATTACTGCCATCTTGGGGTATGTTACACTATCGCACCATTTAGGACTGTCACTGCGTTCTAAGATTGTTAGGATATGTACTTAATTAAAACTTGCTGGTACCCATGTTTACAATGAGATGCAGTCTTGCTCCCAGAGATCCCTTGTGAAGGAAAATTCATCCCACATCTTGTTCAGCTGACAGTTCAAGCCACAATCTGCAACTGGATTGCCCTTTTTTTGTTTTTTTTAAATACACTGAAAAGCAGCAGCAATTGGAGCAGTTCATTTACAATAGCACCTTACCTTTTAGGTGAGATTTCACAGTCCTCTCTTCCATCAGTTTATCATGTTCAACATGTCAAACTGAACCCAGGCATTTCAGATATTGCTGTTTCCATTGTGCTTTGCCTTAGGAATGGTTCATTTTGGCAGAGCATCCAAAAAACATTTACAACCATTAGCCACAGCTCCATACTCTCTCACAAAGAAGCCTGGCCACACCTCCACTAAGGATGAGGACACTGAGATTTTAAGGCCATATTTTCAAAAGGTTGCCTCTGGTGAGACACCTACTTACTGCCCAGTTTTCAGAGTGCCAGGTAGAAACAAAAAGAAGAAAGAAAAAGTAGCTCTGAGTAACTAAAGCTAGGGAGACAAAAATCAGAAGCCACTCTGGAAAGTTTGCAAATCACTGGGCCAAGGCTACACAGCAAATAAGTAGAAGAGCCCAAGAGTAGAACCCAGGACTTCTGACACCCATACAGGTGCCAGATAACACATGCATAAAGGCTGCAATAAAGCATAAAGAACTTCCACATAGTTTTCCACTGGACTGGACAAGAAAAATCTCTTATTTTAAACAGAAATCTAGCTGGGAAGAAATCACCTCCTGCTCTTGGCTAGCACTTTTCTTGTGTGTGACCGTTTCAACTCAGGTCATTTATTCTTTCCTCATTTCCACTTCTGAAACCACAGGCTTCCACTGAATTATTTATTCTGATGTTTCTCAGGTACTGAAATACCAGCCCATCAGGTATTCTCACATGTAACCCAAACCTCCAAGCAACAAGAAAAAATACAGATCACAAATATAGTCACATTGTTCAGCATCAACTTTATGACATGTTTCCTATCTCTAGCCAACTTAGACTGACACAAAGTCAGTGATACTCCTCCTTATTAACACATGGGGGTGGGGTCTAAACACTAAACCTGAATGCATTAAGCTGGTTAGTAATATACTATGCTCAATGGACCTATCCAAATTGTCTCAGATCCTTGGATATCCCATTTGGAAATAAGATGTCAGTAACTGTTTCAGCCTTAGAAAAAAAGTCATGCTCTGTTAACATCAAGTTTGTTGTTCATCTTTCTCTCAGATACTAGCTGGTCAAACTTCTTCTGGGATACAGACATACAGGAGAATCTGCAAAATTAGCAGTCATTTTGGGTCTCTGTTTGTCCCTTACCGTCTCAGTTTTCCAGCAACCAATCTGAGCTCGTGAGAGAACCACAAGAGTCACTAGAGAGCGCTCTCGCTGAACGGGCAAGGGAGAACAAAAGGCATAACAGCATGCAACGTACATCTATTGTGTCCACATCTGGATGTTAGTCATAGACAAGGAAAATCCCTGATCCAGTTTATTTAAAGTTAAATGACAGTTCAAAATGAACCCAGTTACTGATTTTCTTTGTTAAAAAGATGCTGGCAGGTTAAAACAAACAAAAACACTTCCTTACACACCATGTTTCTTTACCTGCATTTTAAGATCTTATATAGTAATACCACCATTGTTAAATGGCAAAAATGCTGTCTTGCAGTATCCTTGAAAAAATCCCCAGCCAACCATAAAGTCTACTTGCCTGGGAACAAGATGATGGGGAAAAAAGTAACCAGCTGATAAGTAAGTGATTAGTTACACCAGAAGTTCACAAGGATATTTAAAAAAAAAAAAAAAACACACACACACCAAAAAGCACTTAACTCTCCTAGTTTGTGCACTGGATTTTTTGCACTTCACTCAGCTTGGACAGACACCAACTAGCCAGTTTCCTTTTCTTGCACTCAAGATGCCAACATATTTGTTGGGATTCGCAGACAATGCAAGGGACTGTTTAAATCCAAAACAGAAATCAATTGTTTAACACGTTCTTGGAAAAATTTCTATTCACCTTAGGTTAACAAGAGAGAAGGAAAGCTTTCCCAGCATCTGCATTTAAAAGGCCTAAACCACCTGACAAATTCCTATTTGAAGCCTCCTCTTTGAATCTTGACCTGGAGCAGCTGGGCATGTGGATTTCTAGCTACTAAAGAACTCCTGTGACTTGCACTGAGGCTGAACTTGAAAAGGAAAAGCACACAGAAAGAGCTGCCAAGCCCAGGGGCTTTGAGGCCTTGACAAGAAATGCCCATCCTATGGCTTCTGTCCCCAGGCACATCAGGAGGAATGGGTGTCTGAAAAAGTTCAAGGAGCACCTCACAATGACAGTACCTTGCATCTGCTGCAGGAGCAGGGCCCGCTGAAGCATAGGATTGGCACTGAGGAGCGATGCTTGATTCGTTGCCCGTAAACTCAGCATTTGCTGCTGCTGCGGTGGTGGCAAACCCCTGGAACAGAGCAATCAAACACAAGAAAACCTTCCTGTAAGAAAATCCCACAGCCTTCAATTTCAGGCATCTCATGAGTGTAACTGAAAGGAGCAAAGTGTAGTCACATTATTGGTGCACCTGTATTAAAACAACCATGTATACAAGGCCCCTATACACATTGTTTCCTTTCTTCCAGCTTCCTTGAGTCCCAAGTGCTAATGAAGCGTGATCAAGGAATAAAATGATGCAGAACAGAACCCCTCAAGCACTAAACCCACATCTAGAGTAATGAAATAGCTGCATGCCTTCAGACCCATGCATCCAGGGGCTCACTAGCTAGACTTAAAACTTCCTCTTGACATCTATGGCAAGCAAGGTTCTTTGGGTAGATGTGGTATCTTTTATTTCCAGCATGTTCCAATATCCACTGCTCCCACACAGAGCCAGCCCTACAGACAGACTGTACCCAGTGCCCCTGTAAGTCTAGCAGGACTGCTGGCAATAAAAAAGAAAAAGAAAAAAGGAAAAAGAAAGGTTTTCATATTTAAACCAGGTACAAGACAAAAGAAGGGTGGGGATGAGGATAAGGGTGGGGGTAGGCAGAGCACTAATGAAAGTGGCATGCATTCCTCCAGGCCAGGGTTCAACACAGCTTGAAAGCAACTTTGTCCAACTTCAAAGCAGCAGGGAGCCACAATGGTTCAAGCTGCGCACCTTGTGGGCTGCAGGACACAGGCACATGGGCTCCCTGAAACCCATGCTACACAGCCCCCCAGCCCCTGCTGCCTCCACTGCAAGGGTGATTCCTCTGCCCTGACTGCTACCACACAAACCCCCCAGCAGTTCCCACCACACAGATGATCCACCTTTACTTGCCACAAAAGCAGCACGAACCACATAAGCAGCGAGTTCACCAGTTCTCCCACCATGCTGCCCTGCCCCAAAGACCCCAGCCACCAGAGCAATGAGGGAAGTAGCAGTCAGGTGGGAGCCCGTGGGCCACACACAACCCCTTGCAGGCCCAGTTGGATAGCTCTGCTGTAGGCAATTCTCAAATGTACTCTGAAAACTATTGCTCACATAGCTTTGATGGTTGGTGTGCGAAGGCAATCACTCCCAATCAATACAGCCATGCTCGCAGAAGCCACTCATGAAGATACAGTTATTCCAGCAAAATTTGCTGGCAGAGCTAGTTGAGGTCTTGGGGCTGGAATGAGCCATATCGGCACGGGCACAGTTTCTGAAGGTATAATATGCACCCACATCAAAAGCCCTTTGTTGGTAAACAACCCTTGCATAGTTAGACCAGCATCATGGGCCAAGCACAAGATGGACTCACTCTTTCTCTAAAACTGGCTCTGACTGTACAGCTCTCACCTAAACTCTGCTCACTTTCCGGCTAGTACAGAGCTATTTGCCCCTTTCCTACAGAAATACTGGAACTAAAATAAGGCTGAAAGCAGTTTCTTCAACGTAGGAGGTTGCCTATTCAGCACTGTCTTCTGAAATAAGAAAACGCACCACTGTATCAGAGACTTACCTCCTTCTCCAACCTCATTCTGATGGACACAAACACAGACATCATGCCTCATTGTGTCTTTGGGCTGCTGAGCCATGGAGGTGGAGGCAAAGGTCCCTCAGAGACCAAATTTGCCCCCTGCCCCCCTCCCAAACCATCTTCCTCAGCCACAGAATCACAAAAAATTAGGGCTGGAAGGGACCTCAGGAGGTCACATCTAGCCCAACGCCCTGCTCAAAGCAGGACCAGCCCCACCTAGATCATCTCAGCTGTCTATGCAGGTCTTAAAGACTTCTAAGGATGGAGAGGCCACCACCTCTCCGGATAACCTGTTCCAGTGCTTTACTACCCTCCTAGTAAGAAAGACTGTCCTAATATCTAACCTAAGCTTCCCTTGCTGCAACTTGAGACCACTGCTCCTTGTCCTGCTTTCTGCCACTGCCAAGAACAGTCCAGCTCCATCCTCTTTGGACCCCGCTTCAGGTAGTTGGAGGCTGCTAGTAAATCCCCTCTCAGTCTCTTCTTCTCTAAACTAAATAAGCCCTGTTCCCTCAGCCACTCCTCATCAGTCATGTCCCCCAACCCCCTCACCATTTTCGCTACCCTTGGCTGGACTCTCTCCAGTTTGCCCACATCCTTTCTGTAGCAGGGGGTCCAAAACTGGACTCAGTACTCCAGATGCGACCTCACCAGTGCTGAATAGAGGGGAAGAATCACTTTCCTCGATCCGTTGGCAACACTCCTGCTAACGCAGCCCTGTCTGCCGTTTGCCCTCACAACAATGGCACGCTGTTGGCTCATATTCAGCTTACTGTCCTCTCTAACCCCCAGGTCCTTTTTTGCAGAGCTGCTGCCTTAGCCATCCTGTTTAAAGTCCAAGCCATCCCCCTTAAAGCCATTTTAATTGGGAGACCTATCCTCTTAGTCAGATTCAAATGACAAGAAACACAGATCTTCTCAATGTTAGGGGTCACTTGAAGAGACATTTAAATACCTTTAAACTATTTTCCCTGCAGTACCATCAGCGTCACGCAGACAGTTTCACAAGCACACTCAAGAACATGCTCATCAGACTGACACAACCATGGGTGCGATTTAACAGCCAGACAACCACCTTTCTTCCTGAAATTTACCATTGAAGCTCGATTTTTTCCCAGCATAAAACTCTACCAGGGAACAGGGCACCATTTGACTCTGTGTTTGATCACGTGGGAAAACCGTCTTGGACTCAAACTACTGCTGCCCCTCACATAGCAAGAGGATTGGCCTCTCGGCAGACAGGTATCTCAATTTGCCTTTCGAGCCCAATAAAACCAAAGTCCCATCCTGACCGGCGCGAGGAGCGACTGCACAAGCCAGGCTGCTCCGTCGTGTCACCCACGCACTGACACGCCATGAACAAAACCGGGGCCATGTCCTGCGAGGCGGCAATGGATCGACGGATTGGGGGCTTGTCAGAGCCTCCGCACATCTGCGGGAAGAGGGTCTTGGGACACTGCAGCACTCAGGGCAAGCAGGTTTGCACACTTCCAAACAGTGTCTATGACATCTGCCCCAGGTGCGCGTCGAGTTGCCCTGGCTCTGGCAGGTTTCTGGGCACTCACCTCCCCTCACAGGCTTCCCCAGGCGCCAGGAGAAGAGGACGGCCCGAGCCCTGCGCCCCCTGCCCCGCTGGACTGCGGCCTGCCCCGCTCCGAGGGCCGCCCGGGACGACTCGGCGGGGGAAGGCCCTGCGCACTAGCCGGGCCCAGCGCCCAGCGCCCCCCGCCCCGCTTTGTCCCGCCAAGGCCCGGGGACCAGGCCCGCGATCCCCGGCCTCGCTTAGCGGCGCTTACCGGGCTCCCTGCTGCGGTGGCGGCGGCGGCGGGTGGGCCGGG